TTTGACTTTCACGTCAGGAATTCCCAGCATCGAGTCTTTCTGTGGTGGGTGGTAGAGTAGGAACCTGCACTTTAATTAGGTGCTAATGTGCAATAATCACTTTAAATAGGCCCCTCACCACTCATTAATGAGAACCTCGTCTTGAAGTCCAGATTCTAATTGGAAAATACGACTTGTTGTTCCCAACATTGAGAAAAGCCTTGCTGGATTTCTCACACAATTCTCCTGTATTTATTGCCATAGCCCATATAGTTCATGGCCCTATAACACTGCGACCACTATTTAGTTACTGAATGATAATTTCCTTTGCGACCATGTATTTCGTGTTACTTGCATAATTCGTAATTACAAATTATAGTGCAGGCATTTTTAAAAATATATATGAAAGGGGAATATTTGGAGAAATGTGATTTCACCTTAACTGTACAAGCTAGAATGCAAAAGCCATATGGCATCTATTCCTCTGGTAAGTGCCTTTTGTGTCTAGCCATTAAACACATATCATTTTAACATTCTTATTTAGAAGGACCATAAGGATAGCTGCTGTTAGAGATGGAAATACCACACTTCTGAGGTTAAAGAGAAAACATGTTTTAGGGGCAGTTTTGCACGCTTTATTCTGCATCTTGCCACTTGTACAATCCCTGTAGAACCAATAAGCTTAATAAGGAAATTTGAAGATCCAGCTAATAGCTAAACAGAGGACATAACAAGATTTAACATTTTAAGTTGTTTATTGTCAGAAGCAGACTAAAACCATAACTGACTAAATGCTATTTGTGTAGGCATTTTATATTTCAATTGCAAACAGCAAGTTTAACTTAAACCAAAATAAACCACCAACAGGTATATATCGCACTATCCTTTCAGGTAGACATTCAATTCTCCCAGACCTGGTCCAAAATGATTATTAGCTTTTGAAGATTTGCTTTTGATATTTTCTGTTCTCAGCCCAGAAAATTTAACTCCAGAATTGCCTTTCACAATGCAAGATTTCCTTGAGATTGTTCCCAGCTGCTAAAGCTAGGCAAATCTCCCAGTCTCGCTCTTCCTCTTATGAATTTGGCCTTTCCAATGTCCCACCTGCACTCTGGCAAAGTGAACTTTAGAATCCTTCAGCCTAAGCTTCTCTCCCTGCAACCCCTGCCCCTCCCCCAGGCCCCAGTCAGACCAAAATGTCTGTGATATTTTGGGAAAGCCTGTAATCTGATAATATAATGGCTTTTTCTTTGCCCTTCCCATCTCAAAGCACATAACTATGAAAATGTGAATTAACTGGGTCTTGTATCCAGGTGGAGATGTTAATTTTTTATACCTGAGATCCCAACTCTCCTTCATCTTGGATAGTTGAAAGCACAGCTGTTTCTAATATGGTGATTTCAACACTTTTCTGGGACTTTAAGAGGCTCTCAGTTTATTTATAGGCTGCAGCTGTTATCTCTCATGAAGAGACCATTCACCTTCCTTCCAGTGAAACAATCAGGGCCCCTTCAATCTGTAAGAATCAAACCAGCCAGGCTTTTCTCAGGTAGACATCAGAACGGATCACCTGAACCCTTCATTTTACCCTAAATTAAGGACTCAGGCCCAAAACAAAACAATCTTGTTAAAACTCACAACCACTGCACTCAGCAGGATTTCACCTGAGGCTCTAATATCCACTGATATTGGAAGGATGTTATTACAAGCAACAGAAATATCATTGTCTTCAACTCTTATTTTTAATTGGTGACTATCCTTCACCCTCTTGTGGTGAAGAGGTAGTGTCTCTACTCCTGAGCCAAGAGACCTGGGTTCGAAGTCCCACCTGCTGCAGAGGTGTGTAACAACATCTCTGAACAGGTTGATTAGGAAAATTGGATAAATAAAGAAAAATTAGAGGCAGTCCTATCTTGGTAGAGGGCACAGAGATAATTCAATGTGAATATATTAAATATTTTGTTTCTCCAGAATGTTGTAAATCAAATATACAAACTGTAACATGTTTAATCATCTGACCTGTCTGTTAAACATGATCAGAGAATAAAAGAAATACTTCTGTATCAACTTTGATGATCACAGGATATCCCACAACATTCTACAGCCAACAAGGTACTTCCCATTTTCATTCATAAAAATCATCTATAAGTACATGCAAAGTTTCTAAATCATGTCTGGATAGTCTTTGCAGAGAGAAAAAAAACACAAACAAAACTTTGGAACTTTGATATTTCTCAGAGCCTCTCTACAATGACAAAAGAAAGCATTTTCTACAGGAAAAGAAATTATACAGGAAACTATTTATCTTCATTTTGAGGCACAGAGAGGGCCTGACAACTGAACGGAACCTGGTTATACTTTGGCAGACAGACCTCAGACGGCGATCTTTGCCCACTGTGCACTGGTAGTAGCTGCCCCAAGCCTTTAGCACGTCCCTGAGCATGTGTGTCAGTCTGCAACATTCAGTCGAGGTCAGCTCTTTACACCAGAAAGCCAGCAAGTTTCGTGCAGACCACAGGGCGTCTTTCACCAAGTTGATGGTCCTACAGGCTAATGGTGAGAAAGGCACTGCCTGTCAGATCCTTCAGGCATGCTGCCCTTGAAGCAAGGCTGTGCTGGTGAAGGGACTGTCACATATCTCCTTCTGGAGAAGGTCTGGAGAGAGATGCAGTGGCTTTTACTGAGTTCATCCCGATCAGCTCTGTGATATAGGACTGTGTGCTCTACAGGTTGTTCCCTGGGATGCATACCGAGACAAACATTGACTTCCCACACAGTGTCATGTAGAAAGTATGACAGCCAATTGTACACAATAAGGTTCGATAAATAGTAGTGCGATCATGTCAAGGTAACCAGCTTAGACAGGACAGCGGAGGGACAAATATTGACCAGGTCATTGGAAAAACATCCCTGTTCTTCTTTGAAGTATCACCATGGGACATTTTATAATAAAGTAACAGCTAAATAAGGTGCAATGTTGAAACTAAAACCTGAAGAAACAGAGTAATGAAGATAAGGGATGTTTGTAAGTCTGCATTACCATGCATTACATATGAGTGAAATTTTAATAAGTTTGTATTCAAAAGCTCTGCAAAATGAAGAAACTGAAAACAAGGTTTTATGTTTTATCATTGTGAGTTTATGGTTCTGTTGATGAATAACCATCCCTCATTTCCTGTTTTAACTTATTTATAAAATCAAAACAAAAAGCAATGGAGATAAATGAGTCTTTAGGTGTTAAGCTATCACTCTTGAAGTGGATTTTGCCTCCAACAATTGCCTGACACAACAATGCTTATGTTACCTCTTGTAACATAACAAATTGGATATGGATATCATTATAGCAAAGAGACAGACAGATATTTATTACTGTTAACTATTATATACAGAAATTACATTTCTCAGGTGCATATTGTCTGGCTTGTATTAAGCAATTCAGTTGCAGTACAGTAGAATGTTAGGCTAAAAGAGATCCCAGTTAAGATGGAGTATGTGACTTTTGTACCATCTGGTCATGTGCTGTGACATGTATGTCATGAGCATGGCTCTTAAAGGTATACTACCGTGAGAGGTAACACAATATATATAGCTGATAATAGATTTGATTATTAAAATAACGTGACAATAGGTATTTTCTAATCAACCTGTTCAGACATGTTATTACATACCTCCAGAGCTGGTGGGACTTGTACTCAAGCCTCCTGCCTTAGAGATGGGACACTTCCACTGCACCTTTAGAATCCTGAACAGAACAAACTCACTGGTTTGAATTAGGGACCTTTAGTCTAATGCTGTCTCAACTGAGCTCTTTCAGCCCATACGACAGGTGTACACTTATACTCAGAATCCCTACCATGTGAAAGCAGGCCATTCAGCCCATACCAACCCTCCCTGCATCCACCATAGCCAAACCACCTAACTTACACATCTTTGGACACGATGGGTCAATTTCACATGGCCAATTCACCTAATCTGTACATCTTTGGACTGTTGGAGGTAACTATAGCACCCAGGGAAAACCGTACACAAACATGGGGAGAACATGCAGATTCCACACAGACAGTCACCCAAGGGTGGGATTGAACCTGGTTCCTCAACACTGTGAGGAAGCAGCGCTAGCCATTGAGCCACCGTGCCTGCATCACAGGAAGATAATTTCATGTAAGCTGTACTGCAGTTGGTAGCATTTAGCTTCTGATTAAGAAGGTTGTAGATTGAAGGCCCACTCCAGAGAACTGAACACGAAAGCCAAGGCCAATACAGGAGGAACACTGCACTGTTGGAGATGTTGTATTTCAAATAAGACATTAAATTGACGCTCTGTCTCCACTGTCAGGCATATGTAAAAGATCCCAAAGAGCAAGGAGGTCCTGATCTCCTGGGCTATATTTATCCCTCAACCCTCATTAGATTATTTTGTTATCCTCACCATGTTGCTTGTTAGTGCATCATTACACTATAGCTGTAATGATGGTTTGAAAATACTTAATTTGCTCTAAAATACTATTGGAACATCCTGAGTTTATGAAAAATGTTATATAAATGCAAGGACATCACCCTCACAGTCAAAAGTTGGCAAAATATGCATCATGTGTGAATGTGTATTGTGTTGTCAAAATATCTTGTTGCTTGCACGAGAAGGTGATCATCAATTTGTGGATGATCACCCATTGTGAGAAAATAGTCTGTGCATTGTGATTTGGCTGACGGGGATATGTGACCTAGCATTAACAATGTAAATTCAGGAAGGAACATTGCTCACTGAAAATTTGAACTGCGTGATGACCAAGCTTAAAAACGCTTTGAGTACTCCTCCTCACCAGCAGCCTGAATCTAGCTGTCATTATGAATACTCGGTGTATGTTTCCAGGAAACTAAAATCTGCATTTGATTATAAATCAATCTGCATGATTTGCACTAGTGTTCTTTTGAGGGTTGGTTTAGGGCAAGGTAAAGGGATATTCACTGTACATCTGGCACAGCAATATCTGACTTGAGATTTTTTTTTTGCACTTTTGCAGCCTTCTTGCATTGCTGAAAGGAAGTCCTTTGCATCATATTGATAACTCTGCCAAGTTCACATTAGTTCAGTACTTTGCAAACAGACTCTAATAAAGATGGAACAAAAACAAAGTTGCTGGAAAAGCTCAGCAGGTCTGGCAGCATCAGTGAAGGAGAAAACAGAGTTAACGTTTCGGGTCCGGTGACCCTTCCTCAGAACTCTAATAAAGATGGCACCTTTCCCAGTTTTTATAATGGATCTCTTGAAATTTCTAATGAATGAAAGCAACTAACTACTACAATTTGTATTTAATCAATACATTTACTGTAATAAGTGTCCAAAGTTGTTTCGCAGAAGTATGACAAACAGAATTTGACAGTGTGCCACCAAGGGAGATGTTAGGGCTCTTGACTAAAAGTTTGGCCAAATATGTAGCTTTCAAGGAGTATCTTAAAGTACTCAAATTAACTCAAGTGACAGGGGGGTTTATAGAGGGAATTATAGGTGCTGGAGTCTCAACAGCTAAAGAACACTCCACACATGGTGGAGCAATGCACATTGGGAATGCTCAGAGGGCCAAATTTAGAAGAGTTCAGATGTCTTTGAGGAACTCTAAAGACAACTGTTTTGTAACCATCAGTTTTACTGTTAGTTGCAGATCGTTACATAGAGCTCTTATTCAGTTACGACTGACCAAGTTGGTCGCGTCCTAAAGGAGCTAGACTGCGTCTGCGGCAGGTGGTAAAGGAATCAACAAGAGGGGAAAATATACTTGATCTCATCTTTACCAATCTGGTTCCACAGATACATCTGTACATGATAATATCTGTGAGAATGAGAGTGACCACCACACAGTTCTTGTGGAGATGAAGTCCCGCCTTCACATTGAGAATACCCTCCATCGTGTTGTGTGGCACTCTCACTGTGCTAAATGAGACAGACTTCGCACAGATCTAGCAACTCAAGACTGGGCTTCCACGAGGTGTAGTGGCCATCAACAGCAGCAGACTCCCACTCTGATATGATCTGTAATCTCATGGCCCAGCATATCCCCCACTCTACCATTACCATCAAGCTAAGGGATCGACCCTGGTTCAATGAAGAATACGGGAGGGCATGCCTGGAGCAGCATCAGGGGTACCTAAATATGAGGTGTTACCTGTTGAAGCTACTGAACAGGACTACTTACATGCCAAACAGCATAAGCAGGAAGTGACAGACAGAGCTAAACAATCCCACAACCAATGAATCAGATCTAAGCTCTTTAGCCTAAACTCCAGCCTACCAAACTGACTTGATCCTTTGCAATTCGTCCATTGTCACAACAGTTCCACAGCAGATGCTATCTCCCTGGCCCTAAACTCATCCCTGGAACATCTGGATAACAAGGATACCTACATCAGGCTCCTACTTATTAACTACAGCTCCGCCTTCAACACCATAATTCCAAACAAACTAATCTCTAAACTCCGACACCTAGTCTTGTCTTCCCCCTCTGTAACTGGATCCCTGACTTCCTGGACCATAGACTGCAATCAGTAAGAATAGGCGACGACACCTCCTCCTTGATAATTGTCAACACTGGTGTCCCACAAGGCTGTGTACTCAGCCCCCTATTATCCTCCTTATACACTCACAACTGTGTGGCCAAATTCCACCCCAACTCCATTTACAAGTTTGCTGATGACACCACCATGTAGCAAATAACGATGAGACAGAATACAAGAAAGAGATTGAGTGCTTAGTGGCACAGTATAAAGACAACAATCTCTCCAGCCATGTCAGCAAAATGAAGGAGCCGGTCATTGTCTTCAGGAAGCAGAGTGGGGGGCACGTCCCTTTCTGCATCAATGGGGCTGAGGCAGAGATGGCTGAGAGCGACAAGTTCCTGGGAGTGATGATCACCAACAATCTGTCGTGGTCCACTCCCATTGACGTGATGGTCTAGAAAGGCCAACAATGCCTCTAATTCCTCAGAAGGGTAGGGAAATTGGGCAGGTCCACAAGGAGTCTTACGTTGTTGCAATCATGACATCCCTCCCCCACTGAGTCCGAGGACATAGGCTAGTTGTGTTTTTATATCTCCTTCTGGGGTGTTTTAGCACTGGGTCAGGTTCCTCCAACTCTGCCTCTGATATGGAAGGCATGTAATGCACAGTAGCACACCTCTTGCACCTGAGAGTCTCGGAAAAAATTCATTCTCTTTGTCAGGCGGCAAAGGCATCAACATCCGCCATGTCCATCTCAGATTGCGAGGCACTTTCAATACTTGACAGAAAAGGAGAGCCATGGATTCTGGGACAGTTGGAAATGCTGTCTCAGAGCCGGGTATGTTTTGCTCCTGTACCAATTGCAGCTTTCATACGGTCCATATGCTTGTTCAGGACTATTGCATCTACCCAAACCTTATATATTACTGGGCACTGAGGAAGGCTCACTGGACCCGAAACGTTAACTCTGTTTTTTCCTTCACAGATGCTGCCAGACCTGCTGAGCTTTTCCAGCAACTTTGTTTTTGTTCCTTATATATTACTGGACCTGACCTCGTGTCAACCATGCCTTTTACCCATGCAGGGTCATTCCTGTGGTTCCAACACCAGACTGTCTCTCTCACTTAGAGGAATCTTGTGGCCGGCATTGGCATTCCTGATGCTGTTTTACCTTAACCACCCTCCTACCTCTCCCCCTCCCACGCCCCCGTCCCCCTCCATACCCCACCCCTCCCCCCCGCGCCCCCGCCCCAGGTCCAGACAGATCATATTTAACCTGGTGCAGAGTCTTCTTCCCATGACTAACTCTGCTGGAGCTATCCCTGTAGTTGCGTGGAGAGTGGTCCGATACTCAGGTAGGAACCAGGACAATTTGGTATCCAGTGAAACTGTAAGCTGTTTCTTTAAGCCCGCCTGCAATGTTTGGACTGTTGTTTCTGCCAGACCATTGGATAATGGATGGTATGGAGCTGTCCTTATATCTCAAATGCCATTCAACTTTAAGAAATACTCAAATTCCCTGTTGGTAAACAATGGCCCGTTATCTGTGACCAACACCTCCAGACGTCCGTGTATTGCAAAAGATGCTCGCAGCTTTTCTATCAGTGTCCTGTGTTTGACGAAAGAACTCTATGCACGTCAAACCACAATGATTAAGAACATTGAGCCCATGAAAGGACCTGCACAGTTGACGTGTTACTGAGCCACGTGTTAACCTGGCCAATCAATGTGGGGGAAGCTGCTGCTGGTAATTTTCATCTTTGTTGGTGCTCTGGGCATTGCCCCACCAACACAGCTATGTCTGCATCTAATCCTGGCTACCAGACAAAATATCTCACTAACCTCTTCATTTTGGAAACCCCTGATACAGTGCAGCCACTATCTAGCAGCAACCTTTGCTCAGGACAATCACTTTTGCTGCCCATAATAATATGCCAATATCTATAGTGATCTGGTCTCTCCGGGCCGAAAGAGGTTTCAGTTCCGGTTGTGATGGCCTTTTGGTTTTCCCCCATCACCACCAGTTGTTTCAGTTTTGCTAGGACCGGATCTTTCTGCGTTCAAAGTCTGATATTGTCAGCTGTGACTGGAAGTGTGTCCAGAAAATTTAAAACCATTAAGGACCCATCTGCACTTGCTCCTTGGCCTCCCAGACGGTGTTCCAACCTAGTATTAAATGCACTTAGTTTGAGAGCCCACCGTTGAATTCAGCCTGAAGGTATGGGCAGCACTGCCTTGTCCTCTTTAAGTAGACCTAGCAGGGGTTTTTGTTCCAATATTATTATAAATTTATGTCTGTAAAGATATCGGTAGAACTTCCTGACTCCAAATGTGACCGCCAAACCTTCCTTCTCTATCTGGGCATACTTTTGCTCTGCATTAGCAAAAATCCTGGCTGTAAGTGCTATTGGATGTTCTTGTCCATTGGGCCACTCATGAGCCAGTACTACCCTGATGTCATACTGGGAGGCATTGCATGTCAATACCAGATCTCGCTTGGGATCATAGTGTGCCAACACCTTAGAGAATGATAGCTGTTTCCTCACTTCCCTGAAAGCTATGGCTTCACGAGATCACCATTTCCAAGGCTGGCCCTTTTTTTTAAGGTGTTGATACAAAGGTGCCAGGTTGGAAGCTAGGTTATGTGTGAACTTTCATTAATAATTCACCAGCCCAAGGAAAGACCTAAGGTCTGGTACAGATGTGGGAGCCAGGGCTCTTTTGATTGCTCTCACTTTATCTCCCAACAGGTGTAACTTGGCCTCGTCGACTCTGTAGCCCAGGTAGGTCACTTGGGATGCCTGGTCCACACACTTTTCCCTTCTTAGCATACATCCACCTGGGAGAAATGTCTAAGGACCATGTCCAAATTCTAAGTGCTCCTTATTGGTCTTCCCCATTTATTAGCACATCATCCAGATCAATGGCAACTTGGGGTAGACCTTGTAAAATGTTCTGCATCATCTACTGAGAAATTGTACAGGTTGACGATACCCCAAAGGGCAGCCTTGTATATTGGTACAAACCCTTATGGATATTAATTGTAGTATACTTCTGGGAGTCCTCATCTAACTGCAAGTATGCATAAGCTCATGTCCAGCTTAGTGAAGGACAGCACCCCGCTAACCCCACCCAACCCCCGTCAAGCTTGGGCCCGAGCCTTTTACTGCAACCAGTGGTAATTAAACCAACTGCTTCTCATAAGACCAGAACTGAAGTTGTACCCCAGTCTGTGACGGTTGCCTGCTATAGGTTCTCAATCCAGCCGAGGTCTTGCACAAACTTAAGGGTTGGAGTCCAGAGCAAATTTTGTTAAAGACTGGTTCTGTAATCACTGAAGTGGCCGAACTGGTATCGAGAGGTGGACTTTCCAGGGTGTGCACTGTCCTATGATTACCTCACTCAGTTTAGGTCCAGTGTGACTCTTTTGCTGTCCTGAGACCAATAGCAACTACAATGGTTGCTGGCCCAGATCCTGAAGAAAATTTTAACCGTTTGGCTGAAGCTTGGCTTTGTCTTGGGCTTTTACTGTTGGCTGACCCAGAGTCCCTCTGTTCAGGATATGTCCTGAGTGAGGCTATGCAATTACCTTCACTCAAGTGGTGTCTCCCAAACTCAGTTGTCCTGGTAAGGGTGTTCTCTTCCATCAGAATACCCTGTAACTCATATGCTATACTCGCCGCATTTTCCAATGATAATGCCAGTTGTAGTGCCTGTTTGAAGTCCAGTCGGGCTTCATCTAGTATGTGCTTTTGCA